TTAAAAAGAAAAAAAGGTAACTATGATATTGCCACAAGGATATGAAAGACAGTTCGAGGAATATAAGTAATGTAAATATTTTGTAGGGTGTCAGTTGGTCACATGTCTTGTTAGGGAGACTGCATCATAGATGGGGTAGAGGTTTGATCACTGCACTGTACACCTGAAGCTGAAGTTGTATAATATTGTATGTCAACTATAAGTGAATATATATATATATATTTATATATTATATATAATATATATATGTGAATATATATATATACACACACACACACATTATATATATATATATATATATATATATATAGTCATGGGACGTGGAGTATAGTGTGGGAGTGGAGTCAAGGGAATTGTAATAGATATGTATGATATGGGGAGGAGTGGGGCGGTGGATTGGGGGAGGGGGTTGTCACTTCGAGGGGTAAAAAGTATAGCTATTGCACTGTGTTGTACAGCTAAAACTAATTTTAAAAATGTGTACTTCACAATAAAAAAATAATAATAAAAAAGAGAAAAAAAGAAAGGGCACTGTTCTTGGTTATTCTGGTTAAACTGCTGACCATTGTTTGTTACAAGTGGTCCTTAGGTACTAGGTTCTGAGACAGTTAGGGCTGGGGGGACCCATGAAGAAGATATTGGGGTGCAGGTAGGCCATGCTGGTCCATAGTTCTCCTGCCACACCTTTCATAATACTTACCCCAGATTTGTACTTGGTGACCAGCAATCTACCTTTCTCTGCGCTGAGGGAGAGCTGGGACAGCTGCAGAGTCTCTGGAGAAGTTGGGGCCCAGGAATAGGGGCAAGAGGAACAGGCACACTTCCCCAGGGATAAGACTGTCCTCCGTTAACCATTACCCCACTGATTCCAAGGCAGTGTCTTCAAGGAGGCGGGACGTGGAGGGATAAGTGGGAGGGTCAGCTGCTTTCGATGGACCTTGTCCTTACCATGAACACTGAGTCGCTGATCCAACTATGGAGTCAGCTGCAGGTAGGAGCCTGGGAGAAATCCTCTGGAGGGGACTTTAGGGCACATTGGGAGGCTGAGGCTTTAAGAACAGGGGACAGATTGGGAGGCTGAGGTTTTAGGACGTACACTTAATGTTAGGGTTTGGAGCCCTGAGGCAAATAGATTAGAATTTAGGAGAGGAGAGGTGAGTGGATATGTCAGTCTTCCTGGTCCATACCTTGTACTGATATGCTCAGATTTTGGTGGCCTTGGGGGCCTTGGGAGGAGGGGAAAGAAGGGGAAGGCAAGACCCTTCTGGAGTAGAATGGAGGGGGCAAGTCCTCCATTTGGAGGTTTGGAGGTTCCCCTAAGTGCTTTCAGGTAATGACCATGAAAGAGGAGTGTGTGTGTGGGGGGTGAGAATGCTCCTCTCTTCCCCTCACCCCTTCTTTGCCCAGCAGATCTCCAGGACACAGCATCATTAACTCTGTAAGTGGTATGCTGTGAAGGGTTGGGGCAAGGGGAGGAGGGAATCTAAGGTGGGGAGGCTCTTCAGTTGCCATTAGCAGCTCAAATAGAGTCTGGGACCACCTTGCAGGAAGTTTGAGTTTAACCCGAAGCTGGGCATTGATAATCCTGTCCTGTCCCTGGCTGAAGACCATGACTGCTCCGGTAACCCCCCTGCCTCCTGGGTAACCATTCCCCTTCCCCAGAGACACTAGGGCTCCACACAATCCTCCATCAACTTGGTAACTACTGTATCTCCCTCTGATAATAGTATTAGTTGGGAGTAACTACAGGGACAGAGGAGGGGGCCGGGTGTTACCTTTTGTCCCAGCCATTCTACTTGCAACGCACAATGTTGGGTCCTACTGTCCAAACCCTCACTGGGTAGAAGCCTTCCCGGTGCCCTATCAAGGTGACTTGTACTTGGGCCACATTCCTCCTCCTTCCCCTTTTCTTCTGCCCACCTCCCCCTCCAGATCTCGGGAGCCTGGAGCGGCCTCGCTTCTGCCTGCTGAGCAAAGAGGAGGGCAGGAGTTTTGGCTTCCACTTGCAGCGGGAGCTGGGCTGGGCGAGGCATGTTGTGTGTAGGGTGGAGCCAGGCAGCTCTGCCCAGCGCCAGGGTCTTCGGGAAGGAGATCAGATCCTGGGTGTGAACAACCATGTCGTGGAACATGAAGACTCTGAGGTGGTGAGGTTGGGCTGGGACTCCCCGTGGTATAGGAAAATGTTCCATACCATCGCAGGGAGAGAGAAGCTGGGGTCATCTCCCCGGGTATATGGGGGCAGGACCCAAGTTCCAACCTCCCTCATCTCCCAGGATTTAGAGGTGCCCAGGTGGAAATAATTGGCCAGAGGCATCCAGACAGCTGGTTCCCATGGTGAAAAATATCGGTTCCAGGGACAGGGAGTTGGCAAGAGGAACAGGCTCCAACCTCACCAGACGTGCCCTCTGTTTAGGTGATACGCCACATCCAAGCCAGTGGTCCTCGGGTGTTGCTGACAGTTTTAGCACAGCATGCGTTTGATGTGGCTCGAGCTCTGCAGGGGAATGATGCCCTCCTCTGTCCTACTCTGGGTCCAGAAGTCCGTCCCCGGCTGTGCCACATAGTGAAAGATGAGGGTGGCTTTGGCTTTACTGTCACCCACGGTAAGCTTAGAGGCTCAGTAGGGAGGTCAGGAGAGAGATCTCAGCCCTGCTCCAGGGAGCCAGCAGACTAATGCTGCTTTTTGTTTGGCTTTCAGAACATCGGGGTTCTTTCTGGTTGGTGCTGAGTACTGGAGGAGCAGCTGAGAGGGCAGGGGTGCCCCCTGGGGCCCGACTGTTAGAAGTGAATGGTGTCAGTGTGGACAAGTTCAGTCATAACCAACTCAGCAGGAAGGTATGGCTGCCTACTTCCCCATTCATCCTCCACTCTTCTGGGCCTGGGGCCTCTGCTTCAGGAAGCAGATTCCTCTGCCAGGCACCCAGTTCCCTAATCTGATCTTGTATCTCCCTCACCATCCTTCCCTTTACAGTTTGTGCTAGGCCCTTCTCTCTCCTACCCTTAGTGCCTCATTCCTGGGCCTGGGAAGAGGGGCTGTGAGGAGATGCCTGCCTCTACCCTCCCTACTCAGGTAGTTGATACTGAGGCTCTGCTGGGTCCCCACAGCTTTGGCAGAGTGGAGAGCAGGTGACCCTGCTGGTGGCAGGGCCAGAGGTGGAGGAAAAGTGTCGCCAGCTGGGAATGCCTCTGGCTGCACCCCTGGCAGAGGGCTGGGCGTTGCCCACCAAGCCCCGCCGTTTGCACCTAGAGAAAGGGCCCCAGGGCTTCGGGTTCCTGCTCCGGGAGGAGAAGGGCCCTGATGGTCGCCTCGGTGAGTGGGAGCCCTGGGGGTGGGCAGGGAAGGTGGATCTTAGGGTGGGCACACAAGGATTATATATATACTTCTCAGTGCACATAAGCGGTGTCCCTGTCTGAGCCCCTGCCCTGGGCCTCCTCTTCTGGTGTATCCCCTGTTCAGTCCCCCAGTGAGCAAATGATGGCCTGGGCTGGCACAGGGGGTAAGCAGGGGAGGAACATTGAGGATGCCTATGTCCCAGGGCAGTTCCTGTGGGAAGTGGACCCAGGACTGCCTGCTGAAAGGGCTGGGATGCAGGATGGGGACCGACTGGTGGCTGTGGCTGGGGAGAGTGTGGAGGGGCTGAGCCATGAGGAGACAGTTTCCAGGATCCGGGCGCAGGGCTCCTGTATCTCCCTCACTGTCGTCGACCCCAAGGCTGACCGCTTCTTCAGTATGGTGCGAGCTGAGGGCCAGGGGCTAGGGTGGGGACAGAAATGGAGCAGGGCTCAGGTAGAGGGAGAAGCAACAGGTTTGTTCTCTCTGCCTCCTTCCAGGTTCGCTTGTCCCCGCTCCTCTTCCTGGAGAGCACAGAGGTTCCTGGCTCTCCCCAGGACACCTGCTCAGCCTCTCTGGTTGAGACCAAGGACCCACCAGTTGAAGACATAGCCATGCCTCCTGTCCCAGGTGGCTCCCGCCAGTGCTTCCTGTACCCTGGGCCTGGCGGTGGCTATGGCTTCCGACTCAGCTGTATGGCCAGTGGGCCTTGTCTCATCATCTCCCAGGTGACTGATGCCCTATAGGCCATGGATCCTATCAACATTTGCCTCCTCATGAGCCTTCCTATGCTTGCCTTCTAGAGCCTTAGAGCACCAGCAAACTTTCCCATGGTGTTCTGTGTCCTCCCTCTGTCCCCCACACCACCAGGTGACCCTAGGAGGCTCAGCTGCCCAGGCAGGGCTGCAAAGGGGAGACGTGATTCTGGAGGTGAATGGGTATTCTATGGGTGGAGAGAATGACCTGGAAAGGCTTAAGCAGCTGGCTGAGGCTGAGCCACCCCTGTGCCTGAAGCTGGCGACGAGGTCTCCACAGGGCTTGGAAGCCTGGATTCCCCCAGGATCTGGAAAGGTGAGGAAGAGACAGAGGGACTATGAACAGCCCCAGAGGAAGACAGAGGGGAACCAGAGAGGTGGGCAGAGCAGGAGGGCTGCAGGGTGAAGCAGGGTGGGGCACTCAGATTGGGACTTTAGGCCATGGTAGGTGGGGACAGAAGGACCCATGGAACAAGTTCCATTTCTGGGCATTCCAGTTTAGGTGGGGGCAAGGAAAAGGAGCTCTTCTGGTCCTTGAATGACCTTCTCCCTCTCTCTCTGTTTAGGACTGTGCTCTAGCCTCAGATCTGCTGTAGCACTCCCCTCCTTGGCACAGACCTACCCATTGGCTTTCCTGTCTTCACTCTCCGGCCTGAGGTGGTAGGAGCTGAGCTGCTCTCTTAAAGCCAGAAATTGGCCCTCTAGGACTCTGGACAATCACAGGATTGCCCAGGGCCTCCCTTCCTTCACATGGGCCCTCCTCCCAGAAGAGGATGTGGTCAGAGGCCTCAGGTGGGCCTACTAGGAAGCCCCTCCTCTGACTCCAGAAGAAGCCATGTGGGAGCTTTTGGAGCTGTGCCCCAAGGATGTTGTTCTGCCTGAGATGAGTGGTGTGATTTTGTGATTTATAATAAGACATGTATATTTGGCCTTCTGGCACAGAGCTCCTAAACCCTTGGAATTTACTAAGTAATGAGAGCAATAAAGGGGGCTTTTGTTATTCATAAAAAGCTCCTTTCAACCATACTTAATTTTGTTAATGACTTTTGGAAACACCTACCATGCCTGGGCTGATTGCCAGGGGAACCAACCACGTGATTAGAGGGTTGGAACTTGCAGCCCTACCTCCACCCCTACCCCACCCCTGGCTTCCTGTGTGGAGAGAGGGACTGGAGGTTGAATTAATCACCAATCAATCGTGCTTATGTAATGAAGCCTCCATAAAAACCTGAAAGGACTAGGTTTGGAGAACTTCCCAGTTATTGAACCGGGTGCTGGGAGGGTAGTGCACCTGAAGAGGGCAGGAGCTTCCTGCCCAAACCCTGCCCTAGGCACCTCTTTCATCTGGCTGTTCCTGAGTTGATTCCTTTATAATAAACCTGTAATTGAGGAAGTAAACTGTTTCTCTGAATTCTGTGAGCCGTTCTAGCAAATGATAGAATCCCAGTAGGAGGTTGTGGGAACCTCTGATTTATAGTCAGTTGGTCAGAAGCACCTGGGTTTAAGATTGGCATCTTCTGGGACTGAGTCCTTAATCTGTGGAATCTCCAGGTAGATAGTGTCAGGATTGAGTTACTAAATATAGGTCACTGAGCTGGTGTCCACAGAAGAGTTGGAGAATTGCTTGGTGTGGGAAAAACCCTTACACGTTTGGTGACCAGAAGTAAAGTAGTACTGCGAGTGCTGTAGTAGAATAGAGAAACAGAATTTTCCCTTTTCAGATGGGTTACAAGGGCAGCTAGGATTGAAGCCATCTGGAACTTGACCTAGGCATGACTCCAGGACTCTGGAATGTATTACAAGAGTTTGGAGACCAGTTATACCTTCCCTCTGGGCACCTTAGGATTGTGGAGGCTGGGGCTTTGTCATTCTTCATCCATTATAGAAGTAGCCTTTCCCTAAAAATCTGGCTGCCTGTGTTTGTATGGTTAAGGGTAGGAGGCGGTGGTTTGAAGGGACCAAAAGGGCCCCAGTCTCAAGGGTTAGGACCCAGTTTCTCTAGGAAAAGATTTGAGACCTGATTAAAATTCTCTTCCATCATTCAGTCGTCAGCCTAGTAGGTCAGCCCAGAACTGAGATGTTCCTATGAGAGGCACTAATTTTTGCCAAAAAGCCACAACACACAGTTCTGTTGACTTCTACATCAAGACAGCTTTATTGCTGGGGCCTCAGAGGCCCTGAGACTATATGCTTACAGCTTCAAGGATCCAAGGGCCGGCCGAGTGGCTCAGTTGGTTAAGAGCTCGCTCAAGAGTGCGAGCTCTGAGCAACAGCGGTTCAATGCCCGGCCCAAGCTGAGTTGCCGCTGAGCTGCCAACAGGTGGCAGGATGGCTCAGCTAAAAAAAAAAAAAAGATCCAGGGGGTTGAGTCCAAACTGGCAGAGCTGCTCCTTGTGCCTGGCGTGGAGTCTCAGCACAGCGCCATCCCACTGAGGCTTGATGGCTCTCAGCTTAGCCAAGAGCAGGTCTAGGCTACCCTGCAGACACCAAGCTTTAGGCCCCTGGAAGGGAGAGGGCAATGTGAATGGTGCCCCAGGCTAGTCTGTCAGCTTTCCTTGCCAGTGTTTCCTTAAAGTTCGTATTCTTAGTGGGTTGGCATGGTTTCAACCCCCGGCTGTCTTCCCTCAAGATGGAGCAGAGTTCTCTGTGGAGACATTTCTCCCACCACGATCCCCAACCCCCCTCCCCTCCCCGCCCAGTCTGTCATTGTCACACTAGCTGGGGTTTGTGGTGGTGACGAGGGACTGCTGGGTACTGGGGTGGCTTGACTTCAGAGGATGGTGCTTACATGTAAGGTTTCCTCATACTTGGCCTCTATGTCTGCCACGTGGGTCTGCAGCTGAGCCAGAGTTCAGTCCCGCTTTCTGAGGGCCTGCTCAGCCTCTCTCCATGCAACCTCAGCCTGCCCCTGGCATGTCTCTGGGAGGTGGGGCAGAAGGATGAAAGAGGACAGAATGGTGACATTACCTTTGAACAGAGTCTCCAAAGGTACCCAAGAAGTGGAACTTGAGTGGGATCATGCCAGACTCCCCAGGGTCATCGACTTTCCCATAGTTCCTATAATGAGTTCAAGTACAATTAAGGTATAATAGAGAGAGTAGTGGGCTTGGGACAAGAGATGTGGGTCCCAAATCTTGTTGTCACTTACTACCTGTATAACATTGGGCATCTCTTTCTCTGAGTCTCATTTTCTTCATCTTTAAAGAGAGAATGTCACATACTTCATAGGCTTGCTGTGAGTTATATGTGGTAATGTATGGGAAAGCACCTAGTATATAGGAGGTGCTCAGTAAGTATTGATTTCATTTAAATTTGAGATAAGGCAAAGATTAGGAAATGAATTCAACCTATACATGGCAGATAAGCAACTCTTGGATACCTATAGCTAAACTAAAGCTATTTTAAGATAAGAAAACTTTGAAGCCAATATTGTGAAAAATCTGTGTGCTGTGCTAAAATTTCAATTCTATCCTGTAACCAAGAATAAAGAAAGCAAAAACTTTCTGTCATATATATATATATATTTGCTTATTTGGAAGGTTTATTCATTTATTTAGCAAATAGCTATTTAGGGTATTTAGGGTCTACTATGCCCAAGGCCTTGAAGATATGGAAGTAAGTCAACCATTTTCTCTTAGTTTGGTTGTAAAAATTAGTTAAATTAAGAGGGACAGGGCCGGCTGAGTGGAGCGTTGGTTAGGAGTTGGCTTGGGACACCAACTCTGAGCAGCAGGGCCCCGGTTTGGATCCCACATATGAGGGCCAGTGACACTGCCCTCCACAGCTAAGATGCTGAACAGCAGTTCAACCTGGAGGTGGGCTGCCATGAGTCGCAGGCAACCGCGTAGGCTGCAGCCCCTGCTGCAGTGGGTTGCCATGGGCTACCTACCGTGTGTAGCCAGCAGCCAGCGTGAGCGGCCAGCAGCCGCAGTG